ACATTCTGCCTGCTCCTCTCCCTCCCACTTTTTCATTTAACATATTTTATCAGGATGACATGCCTTAATGAGCACGGAATTGCAGCTGATCCCAGCTGCACCTCGCAGAGCTCCACGCTCAGCCGCCCGCTCCCCATCAAGCCGCATTCATGCTCACTGTGATCAGGCCTTCTTTAAGGAGCAAGCTCCCCGAAACTGACAGGAAGCTCAACGACTTCCTGTGGGCAGAAAAGCACCCCCAACCCTTGTCCATGCTGCATAATGGGGGAAAAGAGGAGGGCAGAAAGTGAGCGCGTGAGAATGTGGGTGTATGTGTGTGCGTGTGAAGTGGGATGGTGTGTGCGTGTGCACACGTGTATGTGTGTTTGTGTGTGGGAGTTTCTGGGCTGAGTTCTTACAAAATGACTTGGGGTCCATTTGGAAAACACAAATCTTTTACAGAAACCATCATGGAAATTCCATTTCCATTTTCCGCAGATACGTCTCCCCACAAGCATCCAGCTCAGCTTGGACGCCTGTCTCCGCTGGACGCAGGGGGCAAAGTCCACAGGAATGGCTTCCTTTGCTAGTGTGAGAAACTCTGAAATCTGGGACAAGCCGTGCTCAGGTCCCTGTCACATCCCACGTGCCGTGGCTGCTACAGTGTGTGAGCCGCCGGACACCCAGCACAATGTCCGCCACGGGCATTGCTTCCCTCACTTCTTCCCTAATTCGTGCCTTCATTTATTCCACAGGCCTCGAGCCTCCTGTGAGCCAGGGCCTGTTCACAGCACTGCAGACGCGGGCAGCACCTCTGCCTTCAGGAGCCCATTCATCAATGAGTCAATAACAAACACGAGGTGCGAGAGTACTAAGCGCTGTGGAGACAACAGAGCAGAGCCGTGGGTGGAGCCAGCCCGGCGCAGAGAGGGCTGGGGAGCTAGGTCTGACTGCTAACCGAGGGCCCCCACTCGCTCTGTGGGGCACTTGGCATAGTGCGGCCACCAGCAAGGAAAGGACACACACTGTTCTCCTCCCGAGACACCTGCTGGGCAGAGACCAGCCGTTCACCACACATGTTCCGCTCTCCTCCCGGACACAGAGCTGGACTGGACCTCCCAGCGGCCCCTGCAATTAAGCATGGCCATGTGACTGGGTTTTGGCTAAGGCAAAATTCAGGCAAAATTGATGCATGCCACAGCCAAGCCTCGCCAATCCTGCGGTCCTCCCTCTGGGGCCCCGAGTGCCTGCAGCACAGGCTCCCTCCCCCAGACGACCTTCACAGGAGTGAGAAGTGAGCCTCTACTGGGCTAGGTTTCTGAACTTTTGGGAACGCACGTTTCAGCGGGCAGCCAACCCTAACCCACCCCTGATCCTTCCGCTCACAGCCCCTTCCGGGGCAGACTTTCCTGGCCTGGAGGTGGCCTTCCCTACAGGGCCTGCTAGACACCTCAGGCAGATAGTAAATTCGCTCCAAACCACAGCAACGCCACAGACTGGAAACCAGAAGATGCTGCCCCTCCGCGAGTTGGCGCTGCTGGCCATGGCTTCCCAGCACCGTGAGTGTGTGGCTTTTCTCGCCCGACACGTGGTGCCACGGCCGCGTGTCCTTTCCCCAAAGCTCTAGTCTAGAAATGCCAACGGCAGAGAGAGTCTTCAGGAACCTGCCTCCTAGGGGCTCAAGAGCTCCTGCCGGCTGCCGCTCTCTCGAGCCAGATCGTGCAAGGTTTGTGTTAGCCGGGGAGGGGCGAGTCTCCCTGCTTCCTACTTGTTCAGATTGGAAAATGCAGCAGGTTCCCCATCAGAGCACACAGGTGTCATTGTGCTGGCGTGAGAAGGAATGTCCCCATCACCGTGCCCACTGACTCTGTCGGGTCTCCCCGAGCCCTCTGCTGCTCCGGGAGAAGTCGGCTCTGCCGTTAGTCCCGTCGCCAGCCCTGACTTCTCAGCCCCCGAGACCACGGGAGGTTGGCCAGGCAGAAAGTGCAGAAGTGTCTTTCTCTCCATGTTCAGCAGGAGACAGACGCAGCAGGGCCAACGAGCCCAGCAATCCTGGGAATCCTCGAGGGATAAGGGCTCTGCGCACCGCGGCCTTCTCTCCTTTTGGTACCTTTCACAAGCCTGTGTGCAGATAGGCACAGAGGAGAAAAGTTCCACGTGCCCGTACTAGGATCATTAACCTGAGAAACTGAAAGCCAGGACAACAGACCATTCCAGCAGGGCTAAGATGCCCGCCAGTGTCATGTGTGTACCCACTGGTGTGTGAGCAGAGGGGAGCCCTCGGGATTCAGTCCAAACTCACTCACATCACCTTCCTGCCAAGTGCCCTCGAGGATGACATGGGCAGACCTCCCAGGAGTTTGGGAAATGAGTCAGATACACAGTTGTTAAGCTGCTGCCCACGGGCCAAATCCGGCCCACTGCCTGCTTTTGTAAATAAAGGTTTATTAGAACAGAGCCACACACATTAGTTTACACACTGCCTATGGCAGCTTTCACACTACCAAGGCCAAGTTGCACAGTTGCCACGAGGCTGGGTTGGCCCACAAAGCCTAAAATATTTGCTATCTGGCCCATTACAGAAACAGTTTGCCCGCCCCTGAGTTAGGTCAACAATTTTCTACCAGAGGTGATTTTTGGGTGGTACCAGCACAGGCTTTAAATAAAGCTGCATCACACAACGAAAAACTCGCTCCCTTTCCGACCACTTTCAGTCCTCACGGCCTTTGAGCGGAAGCCTCTGGTCCTTGTGCGACTCAAACACTCCGACACATGCACGCCGCTTCTCCCTTCTTAGCAAATGGGGGTGGCCTTTGGCTCTGAGTGTGGACAGACAACTACAAAGCCAGACTCTAATACTTTGTTTCCCGTGCCTTACGCTTGCTTATCAGTCAACTTTTACTGTAACAAACAATGCCAGCTTTCCCTTTGTGATCTAATATAGAGTCTCCTTATAGAATAAATTTATTTACATAATAATGAATCACTGGAGAAAAATTTTAAGTAAATGACAAGCAACAGACAGATATGGCGAGTGCCTTGAAAGTGGTGAGGGTGTGAATGCAGGTGGGGGCCACAGAACTGAGGCATGAGCATCCTCACGGGTGTCAGTGGTGGACTGGGGGCTGGCGGATTGGCCCGGAAGACGTGAGCCCTGGGAAACTACACTCAGGTTGGGCTTTGAATCCTTGAGGCCTTCGCTCAGGTCCTTCCCTCCACTCCGCAGTGAAATCGCCAACCTGGGCAGGCCACTCAAGGGCAGGTGATGGCCACAGTGGTCACCTGGGGGCTGAGGTACAAGGGCCGGCTGTATGCAGTGAGTCGGCAAACCCTCCTGCATTCCTCCTTCACTCGCACAACTGCCACACTCAACACTTCTGATGCCAGAGGGGTGGGCTTTTCCCCACACCAAGCGATTCTCTGCGACACCAGCTGGTGTCCTAGAGTTTAACTCAGTTCTGACACTATCTTCCTGGAGAGAGCGTCCATCCCGTGGGTGAAGGGCTCAGTCCCACAAGACTGCCCCCTGCTCCCCACTTTGATGCCAATCACAAGTCCAGATTGTCACCAGGGCTTCCGACCAACTGGCTGCAGATCGGGGGTTCCAAGGACCCACCCCCCTCACCTTTGATTACTTTCCTAAGCGGCCCACAGATCTCAGGAAAACATCTGCCCGCTACATCGCTGGTTTACTGCACAGGCTATTAAAGGGTAGGAATCAAGAGTCAGATGAGGAGAGGCACAGGGCGAGTACACGGGAAGGGGCGAGGGGCTTCCACGCCCTCTCCAGGGGCACCACCATCCCCAGTCTCCACGTGGTCACCAACCCAGAAGCTCTGTGAACCGGTCCTTTTGGGTTTTCTGGCAGCTTCATTTCACAGGCGTGACCCACTAACTCTCTGGCCTTTGGGGGTTGAACTCATCTCCGGTGCCTCTCCCCTCCCGGGAGGTTGGGGGTGGGACCAAAAGCTCCATCCCTCTAATCACAGGGTTGGTTCCCCTGGTGACCAGCCCCCAACTCACGAGCAATCTCCGAGTCACCGCTTTAGCACAAACTCGGGTGTGTTTGCAAGGGGCTTGTTATGAGTAATAAGAGACCTTCATCGCTCTCATCACTTGGGAAATTCCAAGGGTTTCAGGAGCTCTGTGCCAGGAACGGGGGCAAAACATATATTTCTTATTATAAATGACAGTATCACATGCCATAGGCGTGAAGGCAGGGTGGTATTTAACGGCCACATCCCCTTGGGTGGGGGGTGTGGCAGTGTCTGACTCTGGAGACGCAAAGACGGGGGCCCTGCAGGGTCAGCTGCTTCCTCTGCTCCACGTCTGTGCTTTGGACACACAGCCAGCTTTCTGCAGGAACGGGAAACAAAACAGAGGCGCATCCGCCCCAGGAATGGAAGCGACCCCTAATAGTGCTCTAGGGACCCCGGTCCTCAGGATGGGGAGGCTTTCCACAACGGATGGGACTTATATAATGGATTCTCACCATCATTTTATCCAATTATTGCTCAGATTGGGTTGCAATTTTCTTCAAAGGGAAGAAGAAAATGCTAGTTGATGGCCTTGATTATTGAAACACAAATTCGTGAAACGAATTCTTCCTCCAGGAAAAACAACCTTGTGGTGGGTGTCAGGAGCACAGAGACACTGAAGGAACCAGCAGAAGTGACAGAGAGCTCCGACTCAGGCACAATGGAAAGAAGTGTGAACAGTCAGACCAAATGAAGGGGTCAGAGGTCAAAGGCCACGACCCAAGTCCCCACCCCACCTCCTTTCAGGCACTAGAGCAGTCACTGGACGGTAACCAAGAGAGAGAAGACCCAGCTCCAGTGGATGGCGCTCTGATCTTTCTCTGTTCTGAGTAATATTTCTCTCATTTCTGAGAAGGTGAACTCATGACCTTCTCAGGCACCAAGTGCAGAGCCACAAGCCCCTCAAGCCTGATCGACGAGACCCCAGAGCAGAGGCTGGGGCCCACGCCCAGGCCGCCCACCAGCCGCAGGTGCCTCACTTACCCTCACAAGCTGCTGGGGGAAAGGCCCACGGGAATTTTCTGGCACGTTGATGGGTGGGATGACCCAGTCCCGTTTCTGTCTCCTCAACCCGTTGGAGTTCTGTCGCTGGGGCCATGGCAACAGGGTGTCGTTCGGCGGCTGAGAAGGGTCCAGAACAGTACTCTTCTTTCCTTTCTGCAGCATTATTCGGAGCGGGGAGAGAAGAGCCACAGAAGTCTGGTTAAGTTTTGCACCGAGGAAACGTCTCTGTTCAGAGAATCTGTACTATCCTAGATCGATAGAGAAAGATTGGGTGATGTGGCTAAGCATTAGGGGAAAAAAATCAGGTAAGACCCTCATCTACACAAAGAAATGGATCGCAGAATTAAATGGGGCTGAAGAAACTAGAAAAAAAGAAGGGCTGGTCTGGTGGCACAGCGGTTAAGTTTGCACGCTCTACTTCGGTGGATCCCGGGCATGGACATGGCACTGCTTATCAAGCCATGCTGTGGAGGCATCCCACATACAAAGTAGAGGAAAATGGGCACAAATGTTAGCTCAGGGATAATCTTCCTCAAAAAAATAAAAAAAAAAAATTAAAAAAAAAAAAAAAGAAGAAAATACAGTTAACTATTTAACCAGTAGGGTGGATCAGGGCTTTTTAAGCTGAGAACAATGGAAACAATAACAACAGAAAATATGAACACATTTTAATTTAAAACTCTTGTTTATGAAAACATGTCCTAAAACCAAGTGATGAATTTGGACACTTGATTTACAACGTACCACATAAAGGGTTAACAGTTTCACTATGTAAAGAGTTCTTACAAATCAATAAGAAAAAGATTGAATCTTTTTTATAACAGGAAAAAGACATGAATAGATAATTAGCAAAATAAATATAAAGGTCAATAAACTTATGAAAAATGTCCACATCTTCCAGTAATCAAACAATGCAAATTACAGCAATATGTCCTCTTCACCCATCAAACTGACAAGGCCAAACAGAATGAATCCTCAGCACGGAGCAGCATGCTGTGAGTGACTCAGCAGAAGGTGGTGGTTGGGGGTGTGGGGCGTGGTGTTGGACCTGGAGTCTATATCTACAGGCATCCAAAGTTCACGAAAGACGGGGCAAGTCCCTCAACCTCTCTAAACTCTAGCTCCTTCCCTTCTAAAGTTGGATGGTTGCAAAAACACCAAGTTCGGAGGGCCGCTGTGGGACCTAACAGGCAAGACTCGGAGCCCAAGCCTGGTGGTGGCCAGCGGGACTGCACGTCGGCTGCGCTGGCTGGGACGGGGTGCCCACCTCAGCCTTCTGCCAGCACTTTGCTGACTATCAAGAGCCTCAGAAATGGTCCTCGCTTTGACCTCAACAGCTGGGAATCTGTCCCAATGGAACTGGATGTGGACAAAAACCTCTGTAAAGATGCTCATGGCGGATGTGCTTCTAATAATGTTAAATAGGTATAAAATGGTAAAAATGCCAGAAAAAGCCTCTGCATGTTTGACAGCAGTAAACAATAGTTAAATGCATTATGCCGCGTTCATAGCCTGGGATAGTAGGTAGTCATTCAAAGTCACTCTTTGAAGACTCTGCCATGAAGAAATGTCCATAAGTAATAGCAAGTGGAGAAATGGCACTGAAGCATGGATGCTGCGTGAGTCCTCATTTATTTTTAAGGGACAGAGAACAGATGGGAAGGCGATACATCGAAATGTGAACTCCGGTTTTCTCTGGTCACCAGTGAGTTCTGTGCTATTACACTTTACTTTATTCCTTTTACCTCCCTGTGTTTCTGAATGGTATAACGTACATGACTTTCCATAATTCAAAGAGCGAACAGAACTCATGTGCACACGTGGCATCTATGCAAGCATCACCTCTGTTTTTATTTTCAGGGTGCCCCATCTGACATGTCAACACCATTTTCAGGGCTGATGTTCATTTTACCCCGGGTCTCAGTGCCAGCAGCATATGAGAGTTCACACGGCAAAGACAGACCTTGGAGCAGGACAGCCCGAGGCAGGGGACAGGGCTGGCTAGAGGTGTCTGACCACAGGCCACCCCTCTCCAGTCACAGCAGGGTCCCCACTCTTCAGCTGGGCTCCAGGCGTGGCAGGGACCCCGGGGATCTTAACACTGCCCTCTGCGGACAGAGAGCTTCCCCACTCCCTTTTGCAAAAAAGATGCATAGAAATAAGTTAAACACATGTAGACGAAACTGCCTAATTGATGCCAAAAAAAAAAATCTTTTTCTGCCCCTAATGCCTAAACTTAAAGCTGCATCAACGGAAAAATCCATCTGGACAAACCACACTCCAATGCGAGACCCCCTCTGGGAGTCTCCCCCATCAGGGTCCCAGCTGTCTCATTGTGTTGAGCTCCTGCATTTAAGAGTTTTCAGCAATTAAGGAGGTTACCCCACCTTTCATCAGAGAGAAGCCACGCAAGCTGTGTCTATCCCGGCTGCCTTGATTCTGTGGAAATCAGACATTATACCAACTTCGTTCAAGTCAACTCATCGACACTGCTTGTGATTAGTTCTCGGTCTCTCTCATGACATAGGGTGGGGTCATCGCTAGGCTCCTTGATGAGTTTCCCAGAACCGCATTTAGGACAGTCCTGGCCGCACACTCTCCCTGCAGGCCGGGCACAGACAGCTGCTCCCCACGCCCACACGACCAGCCCACGCCTTGTAGGCATTGAGCCTTCCATGCAGCCCCCACCAACGCTCCCTGCCGCCCGTTCAGTAAGGAGCGCCATCATCCCCACTTTACCAGGGAGGCAACCGGGTACCTCAGAGAGGCCAAGTGATGTGGGGAGGTCACACAGCTCATTAGGTAGAGGCAGCATTGCAATGCTGGGAGTCGGACCTCAAGGCCAGGGCACCTGGCTGAGGGCTGCCCCTTACTTTTGGGGTCTCTTTGCCTGTGAGGTCGCATCCCCTTTACCGGTTCTCACCGTAGGCTGAGCAGGGCTAGCAGAAATCAGTACTCCCGTGGCAGAGGTGGGGAACTGCCCGCACCCAGAACAGCCTGGGAGAGACATCTCTGCATGCCCAGCAGTTGCAGCTTCCAGGGAGCGTGTCAGAAACGCAAAGTCTTACTTGTCCCTGGATTTACTCCCTCTGGGGTGGGGCCTGCAGTCTGTCTGGGGACTCCAGGTGGCTGATGTGCTCCACACACATACAACCGGGCTCCTCGACCCACAGGGCATTAGGCCATCTGTCCCTAGGTACGAGCCTCAGGGAAGGGATGGGGCAGCCTTTGTTCTGGAGCGGGTCTGCATGAGGGCAGCCAGCCAGACTCGCCCAAACGACCCTTGCACGAGGTGACAGGGAGCCCCAGCCACAGCCTCTGGGAGGGGGTGCCGCCAGCCATGGCTGCCTGCACCTCTCCCCGCGTGATGGTGCAGAGAACACAGGTCTGCCTCACTGGGGGTGCAGAGGCAGAAGCTCCCCGGAGCCCTCTGCATTCTAGATTCGGGCCTGTAAAGGGTTTTCATAGAGCTGTTTAAAACCTGCTTTATCTTCATTTGCCTCCGATGAGCTTGCGTGGCGTTAATTTCCCTAGTGTTGCTTAAATAAATGACACATATTTGCTACTATTTTAAAGCTGTGAGACAAATGTAATAACAAAATCTGGTGAAAATCAATGCAAGACCTATGCAGGCTGCAGCCTGGAAGACGCATCCCCTTCTCTCAGGGGAAACGTCCGTGATGAGGACGGATTCCTGCAACAGGGTGTGTTCTTCCAAACACGCAACAATCCCGGGCCCATTCGGAACTCGTGTGTAAACACTGACGCCTCATTGTCCTAATGATACATAATGCTTCCGGTCACTCTCAAAGATGTCTCCTAACAGACGACATCTGCTGGTCTTTCCGAGGCATTCCTGAGCCAGCGATGGCTGAGTGGCAGGTAATGATGTGAAAGTGACCTCTATGCAACTGTTACTAAAAAGTATGTACATGCACGTGCACAAACAGGCATATGGAGGCACAGCACACATGTATGTGTACTAGCACATATGGATGCACATGTATACGCATACAGGTATGTATATGTAGGTATGCAGGTGTGCGTGTGTGCATGTGTCCGAGTATGTGTGTTTATGTACTATACACACATGCATGTGTATACGTGTATATATGTGTGCGTGTGTATAACATATCACAATTTTTTCAAAACTGACAGCCTGGCAGCATGACCCGACCCCCTCACTGGGTCGTTACAAGCAGTTTACTCCAACTTAGAGGTGGTATAACTGGCGGGGGCCGGGGAGGGCCTTGGTTGCTGAGCTGGCCTTTGGATCCAACCAAACTCATACCTGCAGGTTTGCAGAACAAAGAGTGTGGAGGAAATCACTCGGTCCAGCTGTCCTCTCGCTGGACAGCTAAGAAGATGTGGTAGAGAAGTTAACTTGCTGGAGTGGTGGACAGCTCTCAGGATCCGATCACGAAAATGTTCCACAGAGCCCCCCACCTCAGCATGGACAGATGTGGGCTCTGCTTCCATGTCCACCCCCAACTTGTGTTGTGGGGCCAAAGGACTGGCCCTGCTCTCCTCACAGAGGCAGGCTGCACTGGGGCTGTGTCCTGTCCTGGCACCCGGGGAGTCTGCCCAGGTTCGCACCCCGTTCCTTGCCTTGCACCAGCTCCTCCAGCACCCCGACCCCACCTGGCTGAGCTCACAGCCCATTGCTGTGCCCAGATGGCATCCTTGTGTGTCAGACTCAGCTCACAGCGCCTCCCCAGGAGGGAGAGGCCTTCTCGATCCTTGGGGCCCGAGCACATCACAGGGAACACCTGCTCTGGTGACACCCCGCCCCGCCGCCGTCCTGGGGGCTGAGGTGTTCTCTTGGCCCACATTGTGAGCAGTGCCACTGTCCAGGCGTGGTGGGAGGGCACCACTGGCCACCCACTCGGCACAGAGCAAACTCGGCGGATAGTACTAAACATGGAGTCCCACACACCTTTCCTGAGCACCAACAAACACGTGACCGGGGGAGATGGACAGAGCTGGGGGTGGTCACGCTGGAGGGGGTCCTGCAGGGACACAGATGGCAGAGGGTAGTGGGGGCTTCAGCCAGGAGACCTGGGGGGCGGCCTGGCCTGGAATGAGCCCTGAGTTTCCAGGGGGCTGGGCTTGGGGGCAGGCAGGCTTAGGAGTGTCCCAGTAAGGAAACTGAG